GTTCGTTCGTTCGTAGAATCTACGAACATGTTCGTTCGTTCGTTCGTTCGTTCGTAGAATCTGCGAACATGTTCGTTTGTACGTTCGTTCGTTCGTAGGTAAAATTTCATCTTTTTTTTCAAACATAAAATTTTCTTATTTCTTAAAAAAATATAGGAATGATCCTATGTACTCAATAATACTGTAAGCACTGTAATACTGTAATTTTCAAGTTGTGAACATTATTTTCGCACAAAAAATTTAACGAATATTTTTTTGAGTTTCCACTTGCGCAATTGAATGCATAAAACTAATTAAAAACATCTTCACTCAACAAAAAACATCGCTGAAAATCTTACTTTCACTCATTGTGGTTTGTGTGTCCGCTGGCGAGAATAGAATGATATGATAATTAGCTGGACATGAACGTGGAAGTTGTAAAATGATGAAAGTAATGCATACAGAGAGAGAGAGAGAGAGAGTGAGAGAGATAAAAATGACAAAGACAGCAAAGTTCATCTCTTTTTGTCATTTATGGTGTGCAATTCAGAGAGACTTGTTGCAGTGATGATTTAAATCACATGGACGTTCAAACAGTGTGTGTTTTACGCACTGTGTTAAATCGCCACGTGCAAAACAGTTATACGTTTAGACAATGTTTTGTTCTGTGATCGTACAACACACACAGTTCGAGCGACAACGTGCTTCATGATATCACAGCAACAAGACGAATCTGAAATGTGCACACCATACTTGGCAAAAAGAGATGAACACTGTCTTTGTCACTTTTTCTATCTCTCTCTCCGTATGCATCACTTTCTTCGTTTCACAACATTTGAAACCAGCATTATTATTGCTTATTGCATTATTATGCATCCAATTGTGCAAGTGGAAACTCAAAAAAATATTCGTTCAATTTTTTGTGCGAAAATAATGTTCACAACTTGAAAATTACAGTATTACAGTGCTTACAGTATTATTGAGTACATAAGATCATTCCTATATTTTTTTAAGAAATAAGAAAATTTTATGTTTGAAAAAAAAAATGAAATTTTACCTACGAACGAACGAACAAACGAACATGTTCGTAGATTCTACGAACGAACGAACGAACAAACGAACATGTTCGCAGATTCTACGAACGAACGAACGAACGAACGAACATGTTCGTAGATTCTACGAACGAACGAACGAACGAACGAACATGTTCGTAGATTCTACGAACGAACGAACGAACAAACGAACATGTTCGCATACGAACGAACGAACGAGCGCTCGTTGACCGCTCTGGATGAAACTTCTTTGTTTGTTTATTTGATTGATTGATCATTTTGTATGAATACAAAATTTCGTTGGTTTAACAAATTGGTCCTTAATCACTGAATTTTACCTCGAATTAAAACAGCCAGAAATCACCATAGAAACAAACTGATAAGATTTTGAGAGGAAAGTGATGCTATAAAAAAGTTACCTGTTTGTAATCACCTTCAACGAATGTTTAGATTTTCAAATGAAACTCCAACTGCCAATAAATGTTCCAATCGGTAAGATGGTTCAAAGGTCTACAAAAAATAATATATGTATATTATTCCCATAGATATTCATCGTATGTAAAATAATGACAAAAATATTACACAATTGATGCATTTGAACCATTGAGCGATCAATGTGTTGAAAGCCTAGGCTTTGAGTCGTACTGTGTGTTTTTATTTTATCTACATTCGAACGAATTAAGAAAAAATCGAGAATAAAATTGATTGCGTGTATTTAAAATTCAGGGAGATTAACTCAAAGCATAGATGAACGCGTGTAGGCTTCCATGAAAGCTTAAAGAGTTCACTCGGGTTCACTTAGTATATTTCAAATGAAAGTTTCGGCAAATCGTCAAAGCTTGAAATTTTGTTTATTTTCCCCTGCCTGAAATCCTATTATCAATTTATTCGAATTTGTAGACCATTTTATTTATGGAAACAGCGCTAATTTTCGTGTGTACCAATCTCATTCTGTTTCATTGATGACAATGGGACAGTGCAAAATTGTCTTGGTCGACGAACATCTTAAGAAAGCTATACTGTAGTTAAAGTGGATATGTAATGAATGTTACTTAAAGTGGATATGTAATGAATTAATCAAAATAAACTGGCAAAAGAAGATGATAATTTATTGTGTATTAAGTAAACTTACTAATCGTATTTATTATAAAAGTATAAAAAGAGGTGAAAATCGGAGATGAGCTGAAAATATTCAGATGAAATTTAGTTTATTTTGGGAACCGAATTAACTGTAGGTATATGAATATTTTGGAGTATAATGGATGACGTTTAAAATTAACGGTATTTGGTTTTCAATCGACTGATTATTCATCAAAATAAATGAAATTGTACCTAAAAATATGACACACTGTTAAAATAGAATGTATCGCATGTATTTGTTAAAACGAAGTGACAAGTTGTCACTGATAACACACCACAATAAAAACAATACGGCGACAGCACAAGTTGTCGCCTCTGGTATATTGCTCTTGCAGCAACCTTCTGGTTTAAGTGGAAAATGATTGATTTTTGATTAATTTTTTCTTAACTTACAGCGTTCATCCTACAATGCTCTTGAGTGTTCATAAATATATATATACGCATACAGGCAATATTTAAGTCCGCAACTTCCTCTTCTTGTTGTTGAGAAAACCATTTATAATTCATAAAGTGCAATGTGACTTCTGATTTTGTGACGGTGAAATAATTTCGTACAGACTCAGAAGTGAATAGGCAACCATGAAATGAAAATGAATTTCGCACTGAGAATAAGAAAAAGTACTGGACTAAATCATTCTCTGATATATTATATAAATATCTCGGATCTGTTTCTTACTGAATAGTCCAATGTAAAGTCGGGATTTTTGAAAGACAAACAAGAAGACATGGAAGTAAACAGATGAGACAAAATCCAACAGTATGACATGTGATTTGAATTAAAATCTGGTAGAAGATTTCATATTAAATTTAATGACAAAATCTATGCCTAATTTAAACAATCTTTTTAGCTGAATGTGGAAAATTTATATTGATTGTGCTATATGCGCTTGTCTCCCGCTTAGCTTTCATTATAGCGGAACAGGCCAAAGTAATAATATAAACATGATATACGTATTTGTTTATAATGTATGAAGAAAACCAAATCAAAAATTAAGCAGTCCCTTTTAACAGTTTAGCAACAAAAAACATTTGGAACTGCAATGAAGTTAATATAAATGACACAGTGCCGGTATTCTGGAACACAATCCGCAAAAATTATGCGGAAATATTTCGAACGTTCAATTGAAGAGGGGAAACGTTCAATTATCATCCCACATACATTTTTGAATTGAACATTTCCCTTCCACTTCCAAAAATCCAACTGAACGTTCGAAATAATTCCGCATGATTTTTGCGGATTGTGTTCCATAATACCAGCACAGATTTTATCGCACGGTGGTGCGATATATATTAGGATAACAATTATATACAACTAATAATTGTAAGATAACAATTAATTCTAGGTCTAATAAATATACCAATTGTACATATTGTTTGTTACATTTACTAAACAGCAAAACACAGAAATTAATAGAGAGAGTGGTCAGTTATAAGAGTTTATTTGGCTGAATAATACATTTCTTTTCTATCGATAAAAAATAATTGATTTTGAACTTACCTATTTATTTATTTCACCGTCTAATCACAGACTGAATATTTTCCATACAATTCATTTCACAATTAACACAAGCAATGAGACACTACCCACGAGCCGAAAATTTTGAAATGTTTCGAATAAAAAATTTATCGCCAAGGGATATTCAATCAAATTTTGTTACTGGTAAAACTTGATTAAAGATTCTCTCTAACAACTATTTCATAGGATTCTCTACACATAAAGACTTTCATGCCGAACAAGATATTTGAATGTCATTTCAATTGAATTTTAGCAATTACAGTTCCACTGGCATTGCTCAAAATTCATTTTAAACGACGCGACGAATTCGGTTCATGAATTCACCTTTTTAATCCAAATGCCATTGTAATAATCATCAGATAAAAAAAAAAAATAGAAAATTTGTCTCACAACCAATTCGGTGTTTTAGCGAAACAGAGTGACATCCAATAAATATTAAGAAAGCTCACATGCAGACATCAAAACAACCTAACAAATACACATATATAAATATGATGAAAGACTTTACTAAACTTTGTTTAGAAGCTGCCATATTGTTATTTTCGAAAGAAAAAACTCGAATTTCAAACCCATAAAAACTTTAAATGTAACCACAACCACAAATTTTCTTCGCTCATGGTCAATAGTAAACGAGGTTTTAAGTAAAATGAGACATTTAAACTCAAATAAGATGGTAGTTTTAAACAGCTGTTAATACCATGTGATTCAATAACGGACACTGGACAAACCAATAAAATAATTATATCAATAATAAAAAAATGTAATCGCAGATCTTTTGATGTGAAGAGGAAATTCAGATGGTGTTCTCGGCTAAGGTAATCTTCAGTAGTTAAACATCAAGGTAAGTAATTTTAATTGCTTGGAACCATAGTTTCAAGATGAACATGCACATACAGCCAAGTAACGTTGAAGTAAATACCCAAGCGCGACTCCACATTTAACTTCTAAATGTGACACCTAGCTAAGTGTGAGCATTCATCAAACATGTGTTTTCCGATGGCTGAGCATCTCATCATTTCGTATGCTAAGGATATATCCGAGCACATCGACGACGCATACTGTATAATACGCGTAGCAGCGCACGCCACTGTATTATACGGACTGCATAATACAGTATGCGTCGTCGATATGCTCCGACATATCCACAGCATACGAAGTGCTGAGATGCTCAGCCATCGGAAAACGCATGTTTGGCATT